ACATCACACCTGTACATGTTCGCATACTCTCTTAAGAAGTTCCGGTCTAGACCTGCTTATTTTAAAAAAGTGTCCTGAGATACTTTTTGTTATGAATTGGCGCTAAATAAAATAAAATTGCATTGAATTGAATACTGTACCAGGACGGACTTCCATTAATTTGTGTCACCAAATCCTGCTCGTAGGCTCAACCTTAAAAATCACAACCCTTAAATCATTTCGATGAGCAACAGAGTAAAAAAAAAGCTCTCTGCTCCCCCATCTCTATTTTTCCTTAATCTTACTTTCTTTTTTTTCCTTCTACTAAGCATATGTATTCATTGTTGTCATACGACCACAGTGTTGATAGTTTAGTTTTTTATTTTTAGAACTTAGTTTAGCTCTAGTTTTTTATCTATAAACAATGTGCAGGAATGTGGACACCGCGCCAACACACAACAAATCGCCAGGGTTACACGTGAGACTCCCTCCAGCATCAGATTTACGTGTGAAATGTCAAAAGATCTGATTATGTGGGTTAGCAGACGAAGGCGAAGGAACAAAAAGACAGGGAAAGCGCTGCAGATACAAGCTTCAGAGCAGTAAGAAGTTGGGAGGAGGGGCTTGCTGTCTTTGGTTAAACCAGATGGTTATATACCCCAGCATGTTCTGATATTGAACTGGTGGCATCGGTTATTGGCCATACTATATGCACGGGATTATTCGGCCTCCTTGTTGTCATTTTTTATGTAACCCCATGTATAGTTAACAGAATAATGGGGAATGAGCGGATGGTCTCCTCCTCTGGACAAAGGTGGTTTCCAACTGCCTTGGAATAAGGAGGGGATCTTGGTTCAAGTACTGGTCCCCCTAAGGTCCCCGAAGAGTGGGCTTTTTAAGAGGGGTTTAATTACAGCTACTTTAAAGGACTGTGGTACATATCCTGACACTAAAGAAAGATTGATATATCCAGTAAGAAGTGCCATGTGGTACACAGTGAAACATCCCAGAGGGATGGTGATTCTTCTGTTTATTGAAAGTCCTTCTTCTAATAATAGAATTGATTAACTGATGCTGTCTCATAAAGAGCTTGTGGGAGAAGGCAAATCTAAGATGGTAGTGCCACAGCGTGCTTTTACAGTAATGGCCTGCTGATGGTCTACATGCCACACCTGTTAGTAGAGTGACCAGTAATTCTGTATAAGAGGCATCTGCTCCTGAACAGGAGGAGAAGATGTGTAGACATTAGGGTTCGCGACATATACGATATTCATCGCCCATCAAGCTACAAAGTGGTGTGTTTGTTGTAGTAAATTTTAATATCATGAATATCTGACAATAGTGAAACAGCTGTCTGGCTGCTAACCTTACAGTCCTGTATTGATTTCCATTTATTTTTGAATTGCCAAAAGGGGGCGCATCTTTCTGGTGATTCCAAAATCCTGAGCCAGTTTGCCCATTAGTATTCCCAACAAAGTTTAACCTCATGTGTGGAATATTCTGTTCAAATAAAAAATGACAGGGTTATGTCTATATATGTGTTGGCATCAAATATTAGTTTTTGTGATTCCTGGGAATTTTAGTGCAGTTTTAAGTATACTGTTGAAGATTATCACATTATAATCAAGATCGCTATTATATTTGGCAGAATAATTGTGAAATGACATTTCATAACATTCCATGGCATAGTAGAGCATGCAGATAATGATAATGTCACAGTAAACCTTTGACACTAAAACAGACAAGAGACAATGAAGGTCTAAAGATCCTAGATGGTAAAGCTGTACAAATCACACAAGATACGCTTGTGGGCATTGTTTAAGGGTGGCCGAAATACAGCTTTATGCACATCAGCAAGCCTCTGGAGGATCCTGCATCGAGAGGATCTTGGGACTCCAGAGGCTTGCTGATGTGCATATTTCGGCCACCCTTAAACAATTGTAAACAATTGTAGCCCATTGTGGGCTATAGAAACATGGCAGTTCAACATGGCAGACTCTGTCGAAGAGGACCCTAAAAACGATTAATTCTAAGGTAACAGAAACACGATTCTCCTAAATGTAACACAATGGACCTTTAAATAGTGTCTTTTCAATTGAATTTTATTGTGTCCATCAATATTATACTGATAGCATACTGAAGATTTTATACAAATATGGCAGTCTGGACTGCTCTTCAGTGTTGTAATGCTATAAGTTATTTACATGTTGACAGCACAGTGAGATGATTAAATATGAAAATACTGGTTAACAAATCCACCAGTATCATCACTTCACAAGTCACACTGAGCAACTGAGCTGCACTGCTCAGACTTTCATCTAAAAGCTCAAATCTGTCTCCAGGGAAAAGACTGGCAACAAATGAATTCACAGCAGCCAGACTGGGAGAACTGGGAACAAGGCAGCATGGGGGTAGACAGAGGAAGAGAAAGAGAGAGAGAGAGAGAGAGAGATTGGTTATTACCGAAAGAGAAGGAGAGAGAGGTTGAGAGACACAGAGCCACAACGAGATAGCATCCCTTGAGAGCTAACCTGCCTGGTGACGTCAACAGCAGATGGCATCAGTGTCTTTACTGCTGGAAGAAGAAGAGAGACAGAGGAGAGGGAGGAGGAGGACTGATATTCGGTGCCGAAAGCCTGTCTGGAAGCTTCAGGAAGATGCTCTCTGGAATTTAACAGCAACACTGGGTGAGAAGCTCATCAGTCCACTGATGGAAGGACATTTACATTAAAATGGAGCTTGTTTTTTGTGTGTGAGATTGACCTTTCTCATAGAAAAATAATAATAATAATAATAAAAAGAGGCTGGCTGGTTATGTTCGGTACAGCTGTATGACAATTCTTATATTTATAAAGTATGATTTGTTATCATTAAGGATTTATGCTATATCCCAGTTTCACACCAGTATATCAGAATGCGCTCTCTGCTCTGTGCTGTTACGATACTTCGTGTTTTGCAGGCATTTTATTTTGAGCCTTCTACTAGTAGCTAATAATTGTAATATGAATAATAGCGATTATTACGGAAGCCCTGAAAGGCAAGAGAATTTTTTTATCTTTGAAAATACATGGAAATAAACTGATGATGATTTTACTTTTTTCACCTGTTTTCACGAGTAAAAATGTAAACATAATTTTTTTTTTTTTTTTTTAACCAATTTTCACAGAAAATAAAAATTAAAACATGACCACGTGGGAAAAAAAATGTCACTTGCGTTTCAGGGCTTCCATAGGTTAGTGACTATTTAGTTGTGGTTGTATGGAAACATGCTCATCTTTTGTCATATTTCTAGTTGGGGATCAATACAGTTTTATCTTTTGTCTGCCATCTAGAGTTTAGTACAGCCTGTCTAATATAATAACTTTGCTCCCCCCCAACCCTGCCGCAGGAGGACATGTTGACTTTGCCATTTGACAAGCCACCCTCCAACCACACCAGCAGTCCCTTCAAGACCAGCTGGGCAACCAACCAATTAGTGAAATCAGTTAAGCCCGAGCCTGGCAGAGCCCTGGAGGAGTCTGAGAGACAGGATGAAGAGCGGGATGGCCAGGAGGAGGATGAGGAGGAGGAGGTACAGGAACAATCGGGCGGTCTGAGAACAAGGGGTTCTTACAAAAAGAAGCCGAACCATGCCAGGCTGGACCGGGTTCGACTGCGGCGCATCGAGGCCAATGCGCGGGAAAGGAACCGCATGCACGGTCTGAACAACGCGCTGGACAGCCTGAGGAAAGTGGTTCCCTGCTACTCCAAGACGCAGAAGTTGTCCAAAATAGAGACTCTCCGCTTGGCCAAGAACTACATCTGGACCCTCAGTGAGATTCTGAGAACCGGAAAAAGGCCGGACTTACTCACGTTCGTCCAGACTCTGTGCAAAGGTCTCTCCCAGCCCACCACGAACCTGGTGGCCAGCTGTCTACAGCTCAACGCCCGCAGCTTCATGTCGGAACCGGGCGGGGAGTCGTTCTCCCTCTATCCTGCCTATCACCACCACCACGGACCCGAGGTAGTGGGCTCCAGCACGGCGGACAGCGGCAGGCCCCTACGGCCCTTCGGTTCCTTCTCCGGCCCCTACGAGGCTTTGTATGACAGCCCATCTCCAGACTGCTCCAGTCCCCTGGATTCAGGGGCTCTCAGCCCACCTCTCAACTTCAACGGGATTTTCTCCCTGAAACACGAGGAGCCGGTGGACTACCGGAGCTGCCACTATGGCCTCCGCTACTGCTCCATCAGCCAGGGCTCCTCCGCAGACCTGGGCCCGTATGACATCCACCTCCGGGGACAGTTTTACCCGGTGCAGGACAAATTGAACAAGTCTTTCCACAATTAACAAACCATATACAGAAACGTCGATTCAATAGAAGCCCGATCAGCCATCTGAGGAAAACATATTTAGAATGTAAACGGGTAATCTTAATTGAATGTTAATTGTCTGGGGACGACAGGCGTTTTGTCAAAGAATGCTGTTGCCTTAGAAGGACAATGTGGTAACGTTATGGTACACGCATGCACACACACACACGCATGCACACACACATTTTGTGATTTTGCTTTGGTTAGTCGTTTAGTTAAAGCTGGTATTTTTACTATAACGGACACTGCAATAAAAGAAAACAAAGGCAAAGGGAACTATGCAATACAGACCAGACAGCGTCACATCGGAATTAAAAGACCGCGTTTATATCTGCATTATTATTATTATTATTATTGTTATTATTATTACTTTGTTATATTATAACTTTCTATTGTATGTTTGTACATAATTTGTACACATATGCCTGACTCTATGTAAGTCATTAGGCTCATATTGCTTTAGATATTGGTGGTAATAATGTTCATACTCGGGCCTTGAAATGCCCGGGAGATTAAATAGGCCTAAGGCAAAGTAAGTATTCCCTCTGCAGCTACTTGAAATAAACGGGAACTTATTCTGCAGTCAGATTAAATGTACAAACATGTTTTGTGTTCGGGGCGACAGAAGAATTTGTTGTTTAAATGTGATATCGTCTTGCCACTCTTTCCCTCTCTCTTTACCGAACTGTCTTGCCTTATTTTCATTTTTAAAAAGGCATTACAAACGCAATACATGTTTGTCTGGCGTTTTATGGGCGCACTGCTTTCAGCTAAGAGGTGAATTTTGGTGGATGGTCCGTTTTGGTGCGCTGCTTCATTCAACTTTGTCACAACTTTGTTTTATACAACAAATAAAACGCAAGTTCAAACAAATCATGAAGGCATACTATATATCCCTGTGTGTTCTCTGTTAAATTTAAGATGCTGTAACAATATATTGCAGACACATAATATCTGTCAGTATATGTCTTTATGTAACAGTAAAGCTGATGCATGTGGTATGTGTGTGCGCGAGGCGATATCTTCCCGAAGAGAATATGTGTGTCTGTGCGTGAGAGTGAAACATCCGAATGTGTGTTAGGCTGCAAATGCAGCAAATTGGTACCTAATGAAAAATGAAAATGAGACTTTGTTCCTAATAAACATGATTAGGGGCGGGTCTAGAGAAATTGAGAATTAAAGGGGTGGCAGAAATATATGCTATTACTCCCAGACAATCATGTGAATATCATCAATATTTGCTTGTAAAAGCCCCCAAATTAAGATATCTGAACTCAGAAACATTACATTATTGTGGTACATTAGTAAAGCACTGGATAGAAATATCTAAAGGTGGCATTAGAAATCAATACGTTTTTTATTTAATCTTTACATTGTTTTCAAATACATGTCTTTTTTAATTGAAGCCTTTCACTTAGTCAAAAATGTGGCTAAATCATAAAATGATATGTGTTGATTTCCATTTTTTAACATGTTATTTAAAACATGTATCTAACTAAATCCACTAAATGTGTTACATTTGAGAGAATTTCAGTGTCAGGGTGACAGCTATAGCATGCCACCTTTAATATCTTACTGATGCCAACATTAGCTGCAAGGTGTCAGCTTAAGCAAATGGAATTAAATAAAACCAGTGCTGTGCCATGTGTGCTTTTTTTCTTTTCACCCCATAGATTGTCTTACACTGCTAGATGTCTGACAGCATCAGTTGGTCTGTACATTCAAGGAACTACAATAACAAACTCTGGCAATGTTTTCCAGAAACATGTATGTCAT